TTTATAGCTCAGGACATCCCCTCCAGAAGGCAAGATGTCACTTCCCTCCTGGGTAGTTAGGAGGTGCTTCATTTCTGCCATCAGCATAGAAAATAATAAATTATTCATAGTTTACCAACATTCTGCATTTTCAAAAGCTTCCGCATTCTTTTTCCTATTTAATATAACTTACTATAACACTGTAAGGCAGACTGAGTTAGGGTTTTCATCTTCATTTTACAGAAAAGGAAGGGCCAAGGGACACTACGTGATTTGCCCAAGATCTTCTCGAGCCAGTCACTAAACACCGGGGCTCTCCAAGCCTCAGGCCTGAGCCTCTCCTCGTCCCTGGACAAGCTCCCCTGTGCTCACCTGCGTGTCTGTAGCTCCCACCATATGCACCGCCGTGCCCCACACCTGCCCACCCGCTGTCCCTTCCACACTCCACGTGCTTGTCCCCAAAGCATCTCAAACTCGGCATGTCCCAAACCAAACCTTGATTTCTCCCGCCTCTTCCTCCGCCTCTCCCTTCACTCCTAGGCTTTGTCCTCTCCCAACCTCCGTAAGGGTTTTGTTCCAACCAGCTTGCAAGTCTGAAACCTAGAAGTTGTCCTCAATTCCACCCTCCTCTCTACCTTTATCCATCCAGCCGGCCTCAGTTCACCTTCTAACCATTTCTCAAACCCTGCCACCTCTGTCCACACCCCTGGCACCCACCCTGGGCCAAATCCCATCTCTCCTATCTGGTCAACTGCAGTAGCCTTCTCACTAGTTCCCCGCAGCCTCCCTGACCCCCTCATAATCCATTTGCTTAAGATGCAAATCAGATCATGACGGCCCTGCCTGTCCTAAGCCCTTTAATGTTTCCCATCTCGCTTAGGATAAAGGTAAGCTCTTTAGCACAACCCACGGGGCCCTGCGTGGCCTGGCCCTGCCCGTCTCCTCTGCCTTAGTGCTCCCCAAGCCTTTCCACTGGCTCCTCTGTTCCTCCAGAGGAGGCATGGCCCTGGACCAGCCATGCCCCTTCCAGCCCTGGCCCTGCCTCCACTCTACCGGGTGAGCGTCTCCTTACTCATCGCAGTCAGCTGCACCATCAGCTCCTCGGGGAGCACTTCCTGAACCCCCCCCCAGGAGCTCAGAGGGTGCTCTGAGAGGCAGCGAGTACAGAGCCTGAAAGCAGGGAGTGCAGTGGTTAGACGCACAGACACGACAGTCAGCCTGCCTGCCTTCACAAACCCTGGACAAATGGCTCCCTTCTCCATCCCTCAGTTTAAATCTGTAACACGTATTTCACAGAGTCGTAAGGAGAACTGATGAGTTAGTGTGTGTACAGTGCTTGAAACAGTCCCCAGCACTATGCTTTCGATGGACAGTAGCTGTCACACACCCTCGTGGTGCCACACAGGCACCTTTCTCTCCCAGCACTTTATCCCAGGTGTGTCATTACCTGAAAACCCACGTCTCCCCCATGAGAACGTAAGCCCTGTGAAGACATGGACTAGGGCTGGGTTTGCACCCTGTATGTCTCCCGTGCCCAGCCCATTGCCTGGCACAGTGGCAGGCGCTCAGTCCGTGTTTATTTCCCGGACTCACAGCTAGTCAGGAGCAAAGCACCTGCCTGCTTCGGGCCACACGGCTTTTTCCCAGTACAGCGTACACTCCCAGCCAGAGGTGGCCGACTACGACCAGCAGGCCAGATCCAGCCCGCCAACTGACTCTGTGAATAAAGTTTTATTGGAACACAACCACACTCATTTGTTTACACATCATGTATGGCTGTTTACTTGCTGCAACGGCAGAATTGAGATGTTGCGACAGAGACCATATGGCCAGCAAAAACAGAAGTATTTACGGTCTGTCCCTTTACAGAAAAAGTGTCCCAATGCCTGCTTTAGGGATCTGGAATCTCCCTGAAGCCAAGGTCCGCTGCTTCCCGGGGCTGGTATGAGGCCTACATGGGTTAATCCACATAGGACTTAGAACAAGGCCTGGCACCCGGAGATGCCCACAAATGTTAGCAGGTATTGTGAAGTGCCATCTGCTTACTCATAGGAGACTAATAAATATTTATTCAGTGAATAAACCAGATACTTTCTGCTCCTTGTGATAGATTTTGGCACCAAGACCACACCAGGCTTTGTGGGAGGTCAGGACAATTTACAAGGAAGTTGTATCTGGACTGAAAGAGGAAGGGCCGCAGAAATAAAAGTCGCTGCCTTTTACTGTATGCCTCCTAGCATGAGACACATTACAGACATCACCCAATTTCAACCTTATAACAGCACTTCTCAAACTTGCACGTGCACACAAATCTCGCTATAGGGCTTTTAAAATATGGATCCTGACTCAGTAGTTCCGGGCCGGGCCCTGAGAGTCCGCATCTCTAGCAAGCTCTCCAGTGACGCCAATGTACTCAGACTGCACTTGGAGCAGCAAGGCCTGCCTGCTGGATATTATTATTATTATTCTCACTTTACAGGATGGGGAAACTGAGGCTCGGAGTCTACGGGTCACACAGTTAGTAAGTGACAAAGCCAGGATTCAACACCAGATATAACTGACTCCAAATCCCCATTCAGTCTGTGACACTGCCCAGCCAGAAAGCCCTCCTTCCAGAAACTTCCGCACTTGCTCCTAAACCAGCCTCCCTCCCAGCCTGGATGGGGGGCCAGCGGAGTCCAGCCGGCCCAGGCACCATGCTGCTCACTGGCTGCCCCGCTGTTGCCTTCTTTCTGGGCAAAGAGGCCTCTTCCAGGAGAGGCTGGTGTTTGGGTTGGCTCTGCTGCGCCGAAGAGGCTTCCGTTTGCATTCCCCGCTGGTCGCCATTATATAGAGCAAAATCATGAGCCACTTGGGCACCTTCTGAAGAAGTTCTGTTTCCTCCATGTCATTCTTTGCTGGCTGCGGCACAGTCCTCCCCCTCCCCTCCTGCCTCCCTCCATCCTGTGCACACATGCCTGGGCCCTCGTTGCACACGTGTGTGCATGCACACGCAGGCATCCCAGCTCCGTCCGCAGCTAGCACAAAGGCTCAGTGGGAGCATCCGTGTCCCCACAGCAGACGGGCTGAACGGGACACATCGGGCCCTGGGCTGCCGTGAGGTCACCTGCTCTGAGGGCGCAGCCCAGGTCTGCCAAATGCAAGCATGCCGTAGACAGGAAGAGCCCGCTTCCTTGGAGGGGGAAGGCCAGAGCCCCCCCTCCGCCCTGCCCCTCTGAGCAGCACCTGCCGCCCCTCGGAAGCCACACAGCCCCTCTCCTTTCTTTACGCCTGATCCCCTTTGGTAGCGGGCCAGGACCACGTCCATGCAGAGAGGGCAGAGCCATCAGAAACCGTCGGACAGTCCGCACCAGCCTCCTGCCTGGCCCACCGCTCCCAGGACAGGGAGTCCAGTTCTGTGGCCACACGCTGCCTATTTGAATTTGGATAGAAAACAACTTTGTACTCCACAACTTTGTGGAGGACGCCACACCTCTGGGTCATCCAGGGGACACTTGCCCCACCAGCTGCCCCTCCCCCAGCTCTGGCCCCCCACGCCCTCTTCCCCTGCCCCCACCACACGTGGGAGCTGCAGCCCTCACCCTCTGTCCATGTCTCCCTTTTCGTTAAAATACTCTTTTCTTTTTTCTTTTCTTTTCTTTTTTTTTTTTTTTTTTTTTTTTGAGACAGAGTCTTGCTTTGTTGCCCAGGCTAGAGTGAGTGCCATGGCATTAGCCTAGCTCACAGCAACCTCAAACTCCTGGGCTCAAGCAATCCTTCTGCCTCAGCCGCCCGAGTAGCTGGGACTACAGGCATGCGCCACCATGCCCGGCTAATTTTTTCTGTATATATTAGTTGGCCAATTAATTTCTTTCTATTTATAGTAGAGATGGGATCTCACTCTTGCTCAGGCTGGTTTCAAACTCCTGACCTTGAGCGATCCGCCCACCTCGGCCTCCCAGAGTGCTAGGATCACAGGCGTGAGCTACCACGCCTGGCCTAAAATACTCTTTTTTCTTCCTTTCCTGTCATGTTTGTCAGTCCTTCCTTCTTACCTCATCCCGAAGCATTTTTGTCTTCACTTTCTCTTTCCATTGCAATGCACCTGCTTCTTCCCTTTCCTGGACCACCTCAACGCATTTATTCACTCAGTGAGCTAGTATTGGCAACCCGCCGTGTCCTCGGACAGAGAGGAGAAACTGTAAAAAGCCGCAGTCCTTGCTTCATCCCCGTGGTTCATGGGGGAGGCATACGTATAAATAAGTAATTATGACAATAGCTATCATTTATTGAATGTTTACTACATGCCCCAGAAACTTACCTATGTGCATTACCCAATTCAACTCATTTAATCCTCACAACAATCTTAGGAGGCAGGCACTATTATCATCCCTGTTTTACAGATGAGCAAACTGAGGCACAGAGAGGTAAGATAACTTTCCCACACTTACACAGCTAATAAATGCTAGAGCCAGATTCAAATTGAGGCCACGTGTTTCCACCTAACCACTATACCACACTGCCTCTCAATGTGCCCAACTACCCCAAAGCGCAGAGGAGGGAGTTCATAACTTTGACTAAGGAAGTCAGGGAAGGCTCCACAGAGGAGTGAACTTTGAGCTGGGTTTTGATGGATGAACAGGAGTTTGCTGAGTGAAGACCAGAAAAGACATTTCAGTAAGAAAGCTCAGTATATCAAAAGTCATAAAATGCATAAAATGTAGCAGCATAAAATGGCATGCCTTGGGAAGTTTGCTGCAGCTGGACAAGAGAGAACATGAGGACCAGGAGGCATGAGGCTGGAGGTAGACGGAGGCCAAGTCACACAGGGCTCCGTGTGTTTGACTAGGTGCTAGAGATTGATCCCGACGCAGCGGAGAGAGCTCACTCGCTCTGCCTCCCTGATAGTGCCGAGCAACCTCAACTCCGGGGCTACGTCCATGAACCCTCGGATCTAGGGGCTGCTCTCTTGCCTCCCTCCTGCACCCCTCGGTCTCACAGTCACGCCACTCTCTTTCTCTCCGCCCCTCCGTGTTCCGCAGGGGCCGTGAGGGCCTCGAGCATTTTCCCGATCCTGAGTGTGATTCTGCTGTTCATGGGTGGACTGTGCATCGCCGCCAGCGAGTTCTACAAGACTCGACACAACATCATCCTGAGTGCTGGCATCTTCTTCGTGTCTGCAGGTAACGGTCACCCCGCCGAGCAGGCTGGAGTCAGGGCTTTGGTGGGGAGAAGGCTGAGGTTCAGATGCCAGGTTGGGGGGGGGGGCAGGAGGACCTGGCAGAGAGAGGAGGGGAGCAAGGACAGGCAGCGCCAGGCCTTGCAACAGGTCATGTTGCAGGGAAGGAAGGTTGTGCAGGGGCCCTGCCCTGTAGCAACCCCCAAACCCCCCCCCCCGAGTCCTCTGGGAACATCTCCAGACCCCAATCCTTAGCCCATGGCCCATTTTCCTACCACCACTTGGAGAAGGGCCAAAACCCCGGGTCCCTCTCAGGGCACTGGGCCTCTCCCCACCCACCCTCTCCCCTCCCGGTACAAAAAGTGACGACGAGGCTGGAGACAGGACAAGCAAGTTGCCTCCCCATTCCCTGAACCCCTGCCTGATACCCAGCTCCATGGAAACCAAGAGAGGACCCTCCCCTCACCGTCCTACCCAGGCGGGAGCAGGCAGGCACCCACAGCCACAGTTCTGAGCCCAGTTCATGACAGATGACTCACACCTGCTTCAGAAGTTAGAAGGAAGAACCTGGGTGTAACATGAGCCATTTAATAAGAATGACCGACACCTAAGGAGCACTCACAGGTGTTCACCCACGTAACCCTCCTCTTGGCCTCAGAGGAGCAGGCCTGTCATTGTCCCCACTTAACAGATCTGGGTACTCAGACTAAGTTAATTTGCCAGGACTCTGAACCCAGGCGGTCTGGCTGCTGGAGCCGGTCTCAACCCCCTGCTACACCAGGCTCGGGTCCCTGTGTAGCCGCCCTCTCCTCCCTCACTTAACCTCGCTATGCTTGTTGCGCACCTGTGACAGGCTTGTAAAACACCAAGCAAGGAAGGCTGATAGTACATGCTCCATAAACAATATCTATAATTACTATTTTTACTCACTGTGCTGTAGAATGCCCCTCCCCTCCCTGCTCTTGCCACGTCTGTTGCCGTCAGCTCTTCCCTGCGGCCCTCCCAGTGGAATGATATCAAGTTAAAGGGAAGCTTGCCAGTGTCCCTCCGCATGGGCCCACCTGTTCCCCATGAAAACGCAGGTCCCCGGAAGGCCCACCCTTTCGTCCTGTCGAGTGGCTGATGTCCCCGTGAGAAACTAACGTCCTCCTCTCCGACCCCCCCATGCCCCGCAGGTCTGAGTAACATCATTGGCATCATAGTGTACATATCTGCCAATGCCGGAGACCCCTCCAAGAGCGACTCCAAAAAGAATAGTTACTCGTACGGCTGGTCCTTCTACTTCGGGGCCCTGTCCTTCATCATCGCCGAGATGGTCGGGGTGCTGGCCGTGCACATGTTTATCGACCGGCACAAACAGCTGCGGGCCACAGCCCGCGCCACGGACTACCTCCAGGCCTCCGCCATCACCCGCATCCCCAGCTACCGCTACCGCTACCAGCGCCGCAGCCGCTCCAGCTCGCGCTCCACGGAGCCCCCACACTCCAGGGACGCCTCCCCCGTGGGCATCAAGGGCTTCAACACCCTGCCGTCCACGGAGATCTCCATGTACACCCTCAGCAGGGACCCCCTGAAGGCCGCCACCACGCCCACCGCCACCTACAACTCCGACAGGGATAACAGCTTCCTCCAGGTTCACAACTGTATCCAGAAGGAGAACAAGGACTCTCTCCACTCCAACACAGCCAACCGCCGGACCACCCCCGTATGAAGACCGGGCCTCGCCAGCGCCGGGCACAGCCGGGAGCAGGGCGCGGCCGCCGAGGGGCAGGGGCGGCGCGGGGCGGGGAGGGCGCCCACACCATCCTGGGGGAGACCTTCCAAAAGCAAAAAAACACAAAAAAACAAAAAAACAGAAAACAAAAAAAGAGAAAAACGTAACAAGTAAATTTAAAAAAAAAAAAGAGAGAACAAAATATATGAGGAACAAAGAAGCAAAACAACAGGAAATGTGACAAAATATAAACGAGGGAAGAAAAACAAACTTTAAAAAAAAAGCGAGAGGGATAAAAAATTAAAAATAGAAAATAAATCTAAAAGAAAATGCATGATTTCCCATGTACCATTATTTTAACATTTAATAAAAACCAATTTAAATGAAAACATAAAAGGGAACCAAGATAATATTAAAGCAAAAAATGAGAAGGGACAGAAAGGAAAGGGACAGTCCTTTGTATCTATCAGGGGTTATGTTACTTTGTTCTTTCCTTTTCCTTTTTTTTTTTTTTTTAGTGCGGGGAGAGTTACTTTTCTGTTCCCTTTGACCCCAGCGGGCCCTGCCTCCCTGGGAGAGTTGGGGGTGGAGACTCAGCGGCCCCAGGGCCAGGTGAGCCTGTGGTCACTGCCAGGTCCCTGGAGCCCCTGGGCAGGTGTCCCTGCAACGCTGGGAAGGGCTCAGCAGCTCAAAAGCCAGCCCCGCCCAGCACTGACGGGGCAATTGTAGGCCTCCAGGTGACCCGAGTCCTTGGTCCCTCCTGTCCGTTAGGTGCCTGGAGGGGGGTGCACCGGGGCTGGCCCAGCCCTGGGTTCCCAATCCTTAATGGTCCTTAACCCACTGTGATGACTTCCTAGGCCTTGAGGAAAGGAAAGGAGAGGGGATGGCTGCCGGTGGCTTACCGAGATGCCGGAGACCCCGGAATCCTCAGGGTGAGCCTCTTGGGGTCACCATCCCCAAGCTCCTGTCCTTGGGGTCAGGAGACGCCCACCCCCCGGGGGATATAAAGCAGCTCTCCCTCCTCACTCCTCACCTCGGGGCCACCTGATGACCCTGGGGCGATGGTGGACCCCAAGACTCATAGGCCCCCAGTCTCCTGGGAAGGGGGTTCACTGACCCTTTGGGGGTCCTTGGACTCACTGACGCCCCCTCGGGGCCCAGCGGGTCCAACAATGACACTGCAAAAAGGTTTCTTTTTACAAAAGAAAAAGGAAAAACAAGTGGTGATTTTTTTTTTAAAATAAAAAAACCACAGACTATAAATAAATGTAAATATATAATAAGTGGATTTACTTGCAAGAAAATCAGATAGTATTTTTCTTTTAATTCTTTTCCAGCTTTAAACTGTGAAAACAAAAAATGGGGTGGGTTGGGGGTCTTAAAATTTAGCAGGGAACTTGTAAAGAAAAAACAGAAAACAAATATACAAATCCATTTACAAGAAAACAAAACCGTTGTGAGAGATCAGAGCTGGGCTAGAAGGTGGAGGAAGAGGAGGAGGGCCCCAGCGAGCCACAGGGGGTCTCTGTGATGGAAGGTGGCTTCCTCAGACAGAATCCCATAGAGAAGGAGCCTACACAGCCCACTCACGTGCGCGCACGCGCACACACACACACACACACACACACACACAGTCCCCTAAGCCCAGTGCTGCCATCGCTCACAGGGACACAGTCTAAACCTTTCCATCCCACACGCAGCCAGGGGCATGGCTCCAAAAACCCAGCTAACGCCCCTCCAAAGCCATGGACAACAGCTTCACATTGGCCCCTATGCTCACGTGAGCCCTCCCAACACACCACACACACACACACACACACACACACACACACACACACACACACAGTGCTTGCATGCGTGGGAAGGGTACCAGACTAGAATCCAGGGCTGGATTCTGGAATTCCTTGCTGTGCGGCCACTCTGGGCCTCAGTTTCCCCCTGCATAAGCATGTGGATGACTCAGATGAGCTCCAAAGGCCCATTCTTATTCTACGTATCTGTGACTTTTAAGACCTGCCACCTGCCCAGAGGATATGCCAGGGATGACCAAAAGAGCTGCCACCAAGTCCCCAGACATTGAGAACATTCCCAAATCACCAGTCAGCCTCTCAGACACACGCACACACACACACACACACACATCCCATATGCCTCCTCACTGTGCTCCCCAACCCCCTATCCCCGCATCCAATGTCAAAGCAAAAATTACACACACATGAGCAAACGTATCCTGCCATTCGGTTAAATAGGGAAAGATGGAGGTCCCCAAAGCCACTCTTCATATCGTGTCCCCTTGATTTAATGCCATAACCTGGTCGTGGAGAATGAAGGCGGCTTTCTTGGGAGAAGGGATCAGCCACCAGGGCTCCCACTGTCTTCGGGGGTCCAGGAAAAAGAGGATCTACCAAGGTTTGCTGGCAAGGTTAAGGGTGGGGGGATGGAGGAGAATTTTAGCAAAGTTTGGTCCAAGTGTGAGGACCAACCCCAAAAGTTAAACTTGCCCCACAGACTAAAGTCTGGGGACATCATGGAGTTCTCTCCTTTCTTGCCCAGAGTGACAAGGGCCAGTTCAGACTGAGAGAAATCCATCAGCCTTCCCAAGCTAGAAATGCAGCCCAGGCTGTGGGTCTGACTGCTGAAGGGGAAAGGCCCTGCCTCCATCAGCATCCGCAAGTCTCCCTCAGTCTGCATCTTCCCTGACCCCCGCCTGCCCTGAGGTTGAGCTCTCTGGGGAGTTCGAGGGAGAGGCTAGCAAGCCTTCTAGAGCTTGCACATTCCCAGCTGCCCTTCCTGTCTTTGGTCTGGGAAAGGAAAGTCCTTTTCCCAGGTCAGCAGCAGCTGGAGCTCTGCGACTCAGCCAGAGGCTCGAGGCGGAACATCTGCCAGCCCAGCCCAGAGGTGCGCAGGGAGGCAGAGCCAAGGGAACCAGTCCAAAGTATGGTGGCAGCCAGGTGGTTCTCACTCTCATGAAGCGCCATCTATCCCTCCCCCGCCTTGCCCACCACCCCACCAGATTCCAAACCCCAACGGATCAAGGACTAGGGAGAAGGCAGAGGCCCCACAAAAACTGCAACCAGGCGGGCGCTGTCCAAAGAGGAAAACTGGTCCCATCTCTCTGAGTTCTGGCGGAGCGCCTGGGAAGATGGTCAGTGCTTCTCCGCAGGGCTGCTGGAAGAGAGCCATGGGGGTGGGCTGAGGGGGTGACACCAGCATGGCCAAGAAAGGGCTAGGGGGCCAGGAGGGAGGAGCCAGGACCAGGACCACAAGGGCGCCGCTTCCCAGGGTGGACGATTGCTCATGTCCAGCTCAGACCAGTTCAAGAAACTAACCTCCATTTTATTTTCTTGGTGGGTCCTTTTTTTTTTCAGACTGTTAACAGAAAAAATTTTAAAAAGCAGAAAACAAAAAAAAAAAAAAAAAAAAAAAACCTGGTACATGAAATAAAGATTTTTTTTATAGCTTGGTCCTCACTTCAGTGGATTTCTTTAATTGCTTTCCCAACTCCTGGCATCCAAGTTAAAACAGTCCTAAAGCCACAGAGTCTCAGAGCTGGGGGATGGAAGGCTTAGATGCCATATAGTGGGATGTCCCACTCTCTAAGTCAGGAGGCCCCTCTGAAATATCCCTTTCTGCTACTCACTCGTACGCCTCCAGTGACAGAGGGCTCACCCCCTCCAAAGATAGCCCTGGCCAGCGCCAGGCAGCACTCGTTGGCAGAGCCTTTTCTGCACGCTGAATTTCAATCCACCTCTTCCTTCACACTCCAACAACACTTCCCTTTTCAGCATGACAGCCCCTCAGATATTTGAAGACAGAGAACACGACGTCCTTGAGTTTTCTCTTTTGGAATAAACCAGTCCCACTCAGCATCCCAAACACACTGCAGGATTCCAGTTCTCCCCATGGAAGTGTGCAGCCTGAAATGGACATGACCCTGCTCCAGGGGCCCCTGCTCCTCAGAGGGGGCTCTGGAGTGGCAGAAGAATGGGGAGGGTCTTGTGGGGCCCCTGGAATTCTCTTAACTGGAAAAGATGGGAAAGACAAGAAGGGATGCTACGAGGAAGATTTGAGCCCTGACATTGGAGAAAGTTCCCATTTGAAGGCAGCTAAAGAACTAACCCACCACTGTCCAGCCTGGGCTGGCCAAGCTGCCAGGGTCAGCTTTTTGAAGGAGGATTGGGCCAGGTGCGGTGGCTTACGCCTGTAATCCTAGGACTCTGGGAGGCCAAGGCAGGAGGATTGCTTGAGTTGAGGAGTTCAAGATCAGCCTGAGCAAGAGCAAGACCCCGTGTCTCTACTAAAAATAGGAAAATAGCCAGTTGTGGTGGCGAGCGTCTGTAGTCCCAGCCACTCAGGAGACTGAGGCAAGAGAATAGCTTGACCCAGGAGTTGGAGGTTGCTGTGAGCTGGGTTAACGCCATGGCCTCTAGCCAGGGTGATAGAGCGAGACTCTGTCTCCAAAAAAAAAAAAAATGAAGGAGGTCTATACACCCTTTAAAAATGCATTAAATGCATTTAATTTAGTTCATTTTAACTTTAAAACTCTGTCATAACAAATAGGATGGGAGGACAGAAGGTATTTCAAAATCAAATCAAGACTTAAGGTGCAAACAAACACAGAAACACTCATCCCTTGGCAAATTGTAAAACGCTTTCCTCTCCCCCGAGTGCCTCTCTCTGCTCACTGTCCTGCCACCATACTGAATTTATTATCCTTGACCCAGAAGGTAGGGTAGAAACTCACAACTGATGCCACAACAAACCAGAGGAAGGAAAGTCGACCAGAACTTGTTTAAACTGGAAACAACACGACACAGGGCTCTGAAAAGGGAGAAAAGCTTCATTCCGCTACTGACATCTATTGTCACCTACAGAAAACCGTGGAGCTCTCATTAATTCAAATGGTTGGGATTCACTGGCCTGGTTATTTTCATGTTTTCATTTGGAGAGCCAGAGGGAACGTCTGCAGGGAGTGTCCAAGAAACGGCCACGCGGCCCCAGCACAGGCACCAGGAGAATACCCAATGCCACGGTCTCGGCCCGACACAGACCAGGGCTTCTTCCTGAGCGCCGGGAGGTGGGAGTCTTGGGGAGGGAAGATGCTGTCTGAGATGGAGGG